TTGAAAAAAAAAAAAAAAAAAAAAAAAAAAAAAAGAAAAACCAACAACTATGGATTTCTCACATTCAGCAAAACACACAATTTCCTACATTTTAAGTCTTTCTCAAGTTTTCTTTTTCTTCCTTTCTACTTAAAATTTAAATAACAAGCAACGGCTATTGTTTACTTCAGTAGACACTCAGTTTCTAGCAAATAATACTTAATTGAGGAAAAAAATTCTAACTAAATACAAAAGTACCAATAGATAACATCTCACCACAAATTTATTGCTTAATAATATTCGAATTCCTCATATTAAATTAAAAATGATATTGAAACAAGAAAAGCAAAGTGATCTAATATATTCACCAATAGAAACAAAAATCAAACCAACTTTGAAAATACCAAAACGAATAATAATGATAAAGACTATTTTTGTGTGTGAAAAAACTTTTGAGGAAGTGGGCTAGAGGGAAATCAGTGGAGAGATGAGAGAAAATTTGGTCCATGTGCTTGGAGGCCTCACAACATGACGCCCAGAATTGTAGAATGACCGTCCCAATTGTTTGATCGAGCTTAGCCCTTGATTTCACCTTTTTCACCGCTCTTTTCCGTCCACCTGCCATTTTTTCTACAAGATTCTACTCGTTTTGGCTACTCCGAGCGAAAGAACAGAGCAAGAGGAGAATGTATTTAAGAGGGAATTTGCAATAGGGTTATAACAGCGCCCCTCCTCGCTTTTCATCAGTTCCTCGAAATCGCGTAATCAGATCCAATGTTGATAGTGGCAGTGCGGTGCATCGGTTCCGCTGTTAGAGAGAGAGGGCGGCACAAAAGTGACTGTGCAGCACTCACCGCTGCGGTGGACTCAACTATTGTAGAAAAGTAGTCTTTAAAGTTACGTTTTTAGGTAATTTTCCTTTTGATAAGGTAATTACAGTTAGACCATGTGCTGCTGCCTTTGTGCATAAATTATGCGCTGTTTGGTTCCATTAAAGAGTTAAATAAAAAATTAAGTTGAAGTCAAGAATTAGTGAAATTTAT